GCAGATAGAGCATGCAGACAGTCTGTGAAGAGGGATAGACAGTTGATAGGGCAAAGTTGCAGTCAGTGTGATGGGTTGAAGTGTGTCGATTTTAATGCAAGAAGTGTCAGGAAGAAGGGTGATGAACTTAAGAGCATGGATCAGGACTTGGAACTACGATGTTGTGGCCATTACGGAAACTTGGATATCACAGGGGCAGGAATGGTTGTTGGATGTTCCAGGGTTTAGATGTTTCAACAGAAATAGTGGCGGGGGGGGGGAAGAGGTAAAAGAGGTAGGGGAGTGGCATTGCTAATCAGAGATAGAATCACAGCTGCAGAAAGCAAAGTCATCGAAGAGGGCTCGTCTACTGAGTCAGTGGAGTGGTCACTTTTTGGGAGTTTTCTGTAGACCCCCCCAGTAGCAACAGAGACACCAAGGAAAAGATTAGGAGGCAGATTTTGGAAAGTGCAGAAGTAATAGGGTTGCCCTAATATTGACTGGAACCTCCTTAGTGCAAATAGTTTGGATGGAGCAGATTTTGTCAGGTGTGTCCAGGAAGGATTCCTGACTCAATATGTAGATAGGCCGACTAGAGGGGAAGCCATATTGGATTTGCTGCTTGGCAATGAACCAGGCCAGGTGTCAGATCTCTAGGTGGGAGAGCATTTCGGTGAGTGATCGCAACTCCTTGACCTTTACTATAGTCATGGAAAGGAATAGGAGAGCAGACGGTATGGGAAAATATCTAATTGGGAGAGGGGAATTACAATGCTATTAGGCAGGAACTGTGGAGCATAAATTGGGAACAGATGTTCGCAGGGAAATGCATGACAGAAATGAGGAGGTTGTTTAGGGAGCACTTACTGCGAGTGCTGGTTAAGTTTGTCCCACTGAGGCAAGGAAGAGATGGTAAGGTGAAGGAACCTTGGATGAAAGACATGTGGAACATTTAGTCAAGAGGGAGAAGGATGCAAGAATCGGACAGGGCTCTAGAGGGCTACAAGGTAGCCAGGAAGGAACTGAAGAATGGCCTTAGGAGAGCTAGAGGGGGGTATGAAAAAGCCTTGACGGGTAGGATTAAGGAAAACCCCAAGTTGTCCTATACTTATGTGAGGAACAAGAGGATGGCCAGGGGGAGGGAAGGGCTGATCAGGGATAGTGGAGGGAACTTGTGCATGGAGTCGGAGGAGGTGGGGGAGATCCTTAATGAATACTTTTGCTTCAGTATTCACCAGCGAGAGGGACCTAGACGTTCATGAGGATAGCGTGAAACAGGCTGATAAACTGGAACACTATGTTAGGAAGGAGGATATGCTCGAAATTTTGAAAAACATGAGGCTAGATTAAACCCCCTGGACCAGATGGGATATACCAAAGGTTTCTACAGGAAGCAAGGGAAGAGATTGCTACGCCTTTGCCGATGATCTTTGCGTCCTCTCTGTCCACTGCAGTAGTACCAGATGATTGGAGGGTGGCAAACGTCATTCCCTTGTTCAAGAAAGGGAATAGGGATATTCCTGGAAATTAGTCTTACTTCTGTGGTGGGCAAGTTATTGGAGAGGATTCTGAGAGATAGCATTTGTGATTATTTGGAAAAGCAGTTTGATTAGAAATAGTCAACATGGCTTTGAGAGAGGCAGGTCATGCCTCACAAACCTTATTGAATTGTTTGAGGATGTGATAAAACACATCGATGAAGGGAGAACAGTGGATGTGGTATATGTGGATTTTAGCAACGCATTTGATAAGGCTCCCCATGGTAGGCTCATTCAGAAAGTAAGGAGGCATGGGATTCAGGGAAATTTGGCTGTCTGGATACAGAATTGGCTGTCCAATAGAAGACAGAGGGTGGTAGAGAATGGTAAGTATTCAGCCTAGAGCTCAGTGACCAGTGGTGTTCCACAGGAATCCGTTCTGGGATCTCCGCTCTTTGTAATCTTTATACATGACTTGGATGAGAAAGTGGAAGGGTGGGTTCGTAGGTTTGCTGATGACATGAAGATTGTTGAAGATGTGGACAGTGTGGAGGGCTGGATGCAGAGCTGGGCAAAGAAGTGACAAATGGAATTCAACCCAGATAAGTGTGAAGTGATTTCTTTTGGAAGGTTGAATTTGAATGCAGAATACAGGGTTAATGGCAGGATTCTTGGCAGTGTGGAGGAACAGAGGGATCTTGGGGTCCATGTCCATAGATCCCTCAAAGTTGCCACCCAATTGATAGGTTGTTAAGGCGGCGTACGGTGTGTTGGCTTTCATTAGCAGGGGGATTGAGTTTAAGAGCCACGTGGTTATGCTGCAGCTCTGTAAAACCCTGGTTAGACGACACTTGGAATATTGTGTTCAGTTCTGGTCGCTTCATTATAGGAAGAATGTGGAAGCTTTAGACAGGATGCTGCCTGGACTGCAGGGCAGGTCTTATGAGGAAAGGTTGAGGGAGCTAGGGCTTTTTTCCTTGGAGTGAAGGAGGATGAGAGGTGACTTGATAGAGGTGTACAAGATGAGAGGCATAGATAGAGTGGATAGCCAGAGACTTTTTCCCAGGGCGGCATAATTTTAAGATGATTGGAGGACGATATAGGGGAGATGTCAGAGGTAGGTTCTTTACATTCAAAGTGGTGGGTGTGTGGAATGCACGGCTGGCGGTGGTAGTGGAGTCAGATACATTAGGGACATTTAAGTGACTCTTGGATAGGCCCATAGATGAATGTAAAATGCAGGGTAGTTTGATCTTAGAGCAGGATAATAGATCGGCACAACATCGTGGGCCGAAGGGCCTGTAGTGCTGTTCTGTTCTATGTTCTTACAATTCAATCCTCTATAACTAGAGCATTTCTATGCCTAATTGTTTCTGCTTCTGCAGCATAGCCATACACAGTGCCATGAACCTCGCTGTTGTTGTTATCCCCTGACAGGCCATTCCCCTCAACAGTATTCAAAACAGTATATCTGTTTTGCAGGGGAATAACCACAAGAGATTCCTGCACTGCCTGCTTAGCCCTCCTGCTTTGCCTGGTGGTCACCCATTCACTTTGTGGCTGTGTAGTCTGAGTCTGCAGTGTGACAACCTCTCTATACATGCCATCCGTGATACTCTCCACCTCGTGAATGCTCCATAGCATCTCCAGACACCACTCCAACTCCGAAACTCAGACTTCCAGGAGCTGCAGCTGGAGACCCTTCTTGTACACATGCAGGTCCCGGGCTCTGGAAACGTGCCTGGCTTCCCACATCGAGCAAGAGGAGCAGACTGCGATTTGGAGCTCTCTTGCCAGGTCTTACCCTTTTAATCCTCACAATGTCAAATATTTTTAATGCTAAATTGAAGCTGCAGATGCTTTCTACTCCGATAATTTCAGCTGTACAGTTCTATGTTCTAAACATTTATTTATTACAGTAACCTATTAGCCAGACTCTGCAAAGTAGGCGCAGTTTCATGGGTATACCCACCCACATATTCATTGTAAAAGTTGTTACATGAAATGTGACATTTTCAGGCAAATCACATATTGAGTACCTTCCAAAAATTTATATACAATGCCCAACCAATTTGTCAACAATTTTTAGTAACAATCCAAAGATCATTTCACTGTCATAATGATAGATAAAATTTGAGCAATTAAATTTCACCAGCTATACAAAAGTCCTTGATTTACTATGTATAATCATTATTAATTTTTTTGCCAAGTGCTTCCATTACCTCCAACAGTTCAAAGACATGCAGATTAGGTGGCTTAGCCATGCTAAATTGCCCTGTCATGTCCAGAGATATCCAGCCTAGTTTGATCAGATATGGTTAATGTGGGGTCACGGGGAAGTGAGGTATGGTGCTGGGTGGGATGCTCTTTGGAGGGTTGGCGCAGACTCGATGAACTGAATGGCCTCTTTCCGCACTGTCGGGATGCTATGAATAGTCTTGGAATCAACCTAATTATTCTGCAGTTGCACAACAGAATTTAATTTTTATAACTTTAATTGCATTAGAACATCAAACCATAGCAGGTGCAGATTGTGTGGAGCTTTTTAAAAAAGTCTCTGAAATAACTTCCGTTCTAAAAGCATTGAATCTACTTAGTGGAGTATAACTCAGTTATTGTTGAGCACCTGACCCAAGGCTCAACATTTGTGCATGCCTATCATCACCTAGGCTATGCATCTGTTGATGGCACCACAAGTGAACCAGACACTACCCTCTCCCCACAATCATAGTTGATAGCTCCGGCAGAGTCACTGTTTTAACAAACAAGAAATCTTGCTAATTTTCTTTCCTTCACCTTCACGCAAGGACTTCAGCAGCACTCAAATGAAATCAGTTACCTCTATGTAGATAATAGAAACTGCGAGCAGCAACAGGCAACTCAGCTGCTTAAGCCTGCTTCGTCATTGAAAATGATCATGGTTGATCCTCTATCGCAATGTCCATATTCCCACTTTCTCCCCTTACCCCTTCATGTTTTCAAAATTTATCTATTTCTTGAAAATAGTCAGTGACTCAGACTTCACAGCTTCTGTGGCAGAAAATTGCACAAGTTCACTAACCCTTGAGGGAAGAAATACTTCCTTATCTCAACCCTAAACAGCCTAACCCATATTCCTGAGACTGAATCCTGGTTCTAGGCTCCCTCAACCAGGGAAATCATCATTCCTGCACCTATTCTGTCCAGCCCTTTTGAATTTTGCATGTTTCAGTCAGATCCCCCTGAACCTTCTAAATTCTCGTGAATACAGGTGAAATAGAACTAATCTCTCCTCACAGGACAGCCCAGCCATTCCCAGTATCAGGGTAGTGAACCTCCACTGCACTCCCGCTATGACAAGTATTTCCTTAGGCAAGGAGACCAAAATGGCACAAAATATTCCAGGGAGTAGTATTTTGGAGTCTTCTCAGTCAGTAAAGCTAAGCCAGGAGCCTTTGCGCTTTGCTACTTTGATAGCTGGTTGAATGTGCTGTACATTGTATAAAGTATAAAAACTCCCCCAATGCCAAATAATATGAAAAGAGTTTAAATCCCAGTGTTTACCTGTCTCCATTGGAGGGCTTTGTTTCAAGTTTTGGCTTTTTCTTTGGAGCTTCGTTTTGAATACTAGATGATGTCGATTTATGGCTGTAAACAATAAGATGTATTTAATTTATGGACAAATTTTATTTGTTGACAAAATAAAAAAAGGCAAAAACAATTCCGAAGCATCAACTTAATATACACCAGCAAATTCTAATCAACATAAACCTGTAAAACTTAATTGAGACATATTGAAATATTGGACATAGGGGCAGGGTAATACTAAGCAAGGAATGTCACTGCATGGGAGAGCGGATTCAAATTTCCTACTTTATATCCCATTCACAGTACAGTTATAAATCTATATTAGTTGTTAAATATGGAGTTAACAACTTAGATTTTAATCAGAGCAAATATCTCACCTCTTGATGCCTATTTAAAGCCAATTGTGAATCAAGGAGTTTGAAATCCAAAAAGGTATAAATCAGGGATTCAAATCCTAGGTCACTCTGCATTCTGGGTAGAACAAGTTAATTTAAAGCCATAGAGTCATACAGCACAAAAACAGATCCTTTGGTCCAACCGATCCTTGCCAACCATAATCCCAAACTAAGCAGGTCCCACCTGCCTGCACTTGGCCCCTATCCCTCCAAACATTTCTTATTCATGTACTTATAACCAAAAATGAATCAAAAATTTTATACCACAAATGTAATAACTAAGAAATCTAGAAGCAAATTTCGAAATAAGCCTGAAGCCAAGGAGCAGCTGCGAGATCCATGCCGCTCTCAGTCCACCATTTTAGAATTTAATTTACATGCCCGTTATCTATTTTCAAGGTTTTATGTTAAGATTACCTGACCTCAAACAACATGTCCAAGCTCCAATTTTGTTTTTATTTGGGGATGAGGGCAGGGGGAAAAGAAGAGATAAATAGTATTTCCCTCTACCACATTTATAAGCAAGTACCTACCTCTCCCTACAAATTCCACAGATCAAATTAAGATCATGATGCACAGGAGACAGAGAAACTAAGGGCAAACATATTACACTTGGGATGCTAGCATCTCAGCTACCCAAGTGGCATTTTATCATCTGTAACAAACAACAAATTGAGAGCAGAAGCTGATCTATAGCCACTGTCAAACCAGATCAATTTCTTTTGTATGTAAAAATTAAGGCTGTTATGTATTTTTCCATTAACACCACTCGAGTTAGGATTTAGATTTCAGTGTTGTCTACTTCTGTTTTGACACTAAACAAGGAATGAATAGATAAAACTACAACATTCTTTTTATCAGTGGCTGATAAATCCCACTATAACTACCAGTCTAATTACTTTGTGTCCAAGTAGGAAAAGATCATTTGTTGGTGTCCACAACATGTTTCCAGACAAAATTAACAGATCTAGCGTTTTCTATATATTTATTTCATTCCAGCTTGTGGTTAAGTTGCCACAGGAACAGAGTCAAAATTGGTTGAATACGTCATTTCATTTCCAAAATGCATTATTATTTTGCAACCAACAACAGTCCACATTATTCTACATTAATTCATTATTTGTAGACTGCCTGTGGCAACATTCAGGGATTCAGACAATATTCCGCATAGTAAAAAAATGTTATTCACAAAGCAATGCTATACAAACTATGCAGATTCCCTGGGAGCAGGCAACATACAGCCTGATACCTGTGTAATGTTCTTCAACGAGTGGCCAAGCAGGTAGTGGTCTTAAGTACAACTTGCCAATCAAAAATTTACAAACCTGTATGGCAGTACTGCCCAAAGAAATTTCCCCTCCCTGCAAAGGCCGCTAATCAAAAAAGTGAAATGAAGTTATTATGGTGTAATGGAAATATCAGTATTTTCAGGCTTAGATTTTATGACTATGGTGATAAACCTATATAATTGTACTGTAAAGAAAAAGCTATGGTGAAAGACTGGTTGAGAAAGGTTGGTTTTATTTGGAACAGAGGAGGCCGAGAGATAATTCAGCAGAAATGTATAAAATGATTATGGTCTAGATAGGTCACCCTTATTAATTCTATCTATCTATCTTATTAGAGGGGAGCAGAGATTTAAGTCATTACAATTATACTTGAAATATGACGAGCAGAACCAGAGACCAAATGCAGGAAGGTGGTGTACAGCTGGGTAGCTGTCGACCAGCACAGACATACTGGGCTGAAGGGCTTATAATCAGTAATGTAAATGTTTTGATGTTTATACTGTTTGATGAAGATGACATATTTTAATAGATACCAGACAAAAATTTGATACGGTAGTTAGAAAAGCAGAAGGAATACATTCTTTATTCGCCGACTTATTGAAATAGAAGAGGAAGGAGGATATGCTGCAGCTAAATAAAACATTTGTTAGGCCACTACTCAAGGGCCATGTGCAGTTCTGGTCACCTATGGAAAAATATAAAATTGCATATAAAAGGAGCTTTACAATGCTGCTGCCAGGACTGCGAAGTTGTAGTAAATAAGACTGATTGGACAGGCTGGAGATTCTTTTCTTGGGACAGAGGAAGGTGAGGGGAGATTCAATGGAAATGTACATGAATACAAGGTGCCTGGGCAGAGTAGATGTAAAGAACCAATTGTGTTTTTTTTTTAAAAGTGAAAAAAATTAGTGAACAGGGGCTATAAATTTAAAGTGACTGGCAAAAGGATCAGAAGGAGAATGATGAAACATCTTTGCATCCAGAGAGGCAGGCATCTTAAAACTTATTGCCCCAAAAGGGCAGGGGAGACAGAAATCTTCAAGTTATTGTACAAAAAAATGCCTGGATGTGCATCTGAGCCTCTCAAACTTCAGGGATCCAGGCCAAGTTTTGGAAAACAGGCAGAGTTGTCTGATTTCCATAAAGATGGTGGCGTCCTTGTGCTGTAATTTATTTTCCACATTTTATAAATATTGTAAATATTTGAAAGGAAGAGAGTGCAGAGATAGATAGAGAGGAGGCAGAGAAGTAGCAGAGTGTGAATTGCTCCTTAGAAGCAACACAGACAAGACAGGTGAAATGACCTACTTCTGGATTGTAACAATTCTACAATCATGTTTTATTGTGTTGGTACACTTTAAAATTTTGGAAATAAAGCAATGGTAGTGAAAAAGAATATACAAAAATGATAGAAATTTAAAAGTAAACTGAAAACAAAACAAATGATTTACTGGAGGCTTTCACGTAAATTGGGTGTTTGCACAAATGTGAGCTGAAGTACTGTGAAATATTTACCATACAGGTTTACAACGGTGTGTCGTAACCACATCAAAAAAGGTAGAAGAGTGCAGCATAAGGGTATATTTTACGATGTTGCACACTTGGCACTGAAGGAATTAAATCAAAATCGTGGTGTAGTAACAAACCTGATTTTCCATCCTTCTATTTAAATAGGTGTCTCAGTGGTTAGCACTGCTGCCTCACAGCGCCAGAGACCCGGGTTTGATTCCACCCTTGGGCAACTGTCTGTGTGGAGTTGGCACATTCTCCCAGTGTCTGCGTGGGTTTCCTCCGGGGTTCCAGTTTCCTCCAACAGTCCAAAGATGTGCAGGTTAGGTGGATTGGCCATGTTAAATTGCCCATAGGGTTCCGGGATGTGTAGATTAGGTGGGTTAGAGGGGGATGGGTCTGGGGGGGGGGGGGGGGGGTGGTGGTGGATGCTTTGAGGGTCAGTGTGGACTTGTTGGGCTGAAGGGCCTGTTTCCACACTGTAGGAATTCTATGATCTATAACTTCCAAATGTGTGTGTTAAACTACACCCCATGCCCAATGAAAGAGCAGTACATCATATTTTCCCAGGCTACCCAAGATTGACTCCTGGGGCTCGTTAATGACGAATGAAACTTGTATGTTACTGGCAATGAGGATAGTTGGGAAATGCAAAACATTTGCAAAGTTCAAAATGGAAGCAGGTAGAGGTATTGCCAGTATTGACTAGGAAAGAGATTGCTTGCACAAGATTGCAAAAAGAAGACTCTGTGATGCACAATGGAGGATAATAAAAAGGTTGAGAGGTTGCAGCGAGCAATTAAACAATCTGGTGATGAGCAAAAAGGAGTGATTAATGAGAAGTAGCGTAGGAGGAAATTCCAGGATCTAAAGAGAAAAGGTGGTGACAAGAGCAGCAATACCTCCAGAGTTAGGCAAAATGTGACGGTATGGAAGAAGCAAAGATCTGTTAATTCCGGTCTCAGTTGGATAACTAATTAATGAGAAGCTTGCAACACTGAAAATTGCTTTGATGTCCCCTCCAAGATAATTTTAACTCTTGCAATCTTCCTTAATTGTAAATTTTAAAAATGAAGTCAGTAATATTTTGAAACCAAAGACCTCTAGCAAGTCTATCACCTTAATTCTAATGGTTTTAAGGAAATATTTAATTGTATATTTGTATGGTGGACTACCTGATGAAGTAGACTGTTGACTACTCAGAAGAAAAACAGTGCTACCATTGCAGAAAGCATGTATCCTCACAATACAGGAATTAAAGTCCTTGTAAGTTAGAAAATGGTTAAAAAAAAAATCTGGAATCTGCCAAATCTGCCTCTCCCCCACCAACATTACCCTCTGCCCAACTCCAGTTTGAATACCTACCCTATACAAGTATCTGTTGCCCTTGTTATTGTGCTTCATGCTTTGGGAATATGAAGAAGTTCCAGCCTATGGGTACTATGCTGACCGGAACCTACTCTTCTCGTTCTTACTGTCATGGCTGCGCCCAAGCCGTCTCTAACCAGCAGCTCTAAAGCATAAAACATTGAAACAAGGACCAACTCAGAAATCAACAAATGTACAGATTTCTTCCTTGATAGTCTGTAGAGATTATACAGCAATTCTGTACATAATATTTAGTCTTTATGTACCGTTGTTCTTCACGTTTTATTATTTAAATCAAATGTTTTTGGTGCTGCTGTGTTATTTGGTGGAGTTAATTCTGTTACTCACCCCTTGAGCTTATACAGCTTCACAGAAATAGCTGTAAAAACAAACACACATAACTTGTTGCCACAAATGCTCAAAGCTGAGGCAGTTGTTAAGGATGACAGAAATAAGCCCTACACTGGAGGAAGCCTGAGCTGCCACTAGTTTGCACAGGTGAAATACAGTGACTATTTATTTTAAAAAAATTAAACAACAATAATTTAGAACGAGCACTTTCCACAATTAAGATTAAAATCCAGCAGAATTAAGCGTTGTTGGCTCCCTGTACACACACATCAAAACTAGGGTTTCACAAGGATTCAAAATAACCTTTCCTAAGTCCATTAGAAACAAACTTCTTCAAAAGCATACCTTTAGCTCTCAAGGAGTGAATTAAAATGAGTCTACTGAACTGAGCAACTGGATTCAATTTTTGCTCAATTACATTCAAAAGAAATATACCATACCAACGATTATACACGAGATTAGATCCCAGGTAATTTATGATACAACTGAAGGAGTTTTGATAACTAAGTAGTTTACAGAGCTTGGCATAATCTAATTTGTAGGAAAATCAACTAAGTACAGAATGGAGTTGTAAACCTACTAATTGCCATTTTTAGTACAGGTAAAAATAATTCCAATCCTACTTTAAGTGATCAATGACATTTTTAGAACGTTAATAATCTAAAATAACAGAACTTTCAATAAATGGCCTCCACTGTACTCAATAGGATTTGAAGTTCAATAATTTGACGGCTACTGCTAACTTGACCAACTTAGTTACAGCTCAGAGTTATTTTTAAAGTCATATTGAACTCAATAAATTGCCCATCACCGCTGCCGTTACATCACTTGTGTCTGGAGTTCCTCAACACATCGTTTCTGAAACTTCATACATATTTCATCACCTCGTGATTTAACGATTCCAACGCTCTCCAGGCTAGCATCCTATCTGTCACTGCACATAAAATGAAGTACATCCAAATCTGCAAAGCAACACCAAAACTGGTTCACGCAATATTATTGTACTTACTGGCATGATTTGGCTTCCAATCTGGCAATGCCTCAATTTAATAATTCTCAAGATTGTTTTTAAATCCCTCCATGGTCTCATCCGAATTTGAACCTGCTCCAGGCCTATAGTTCAAAAAGGTCTGCAATTGTGCAGTTGAACTTTTAGTTGCTCCATATTGTCGGCTATGTCTTCAGTTGTCTAGGTGCTCAGCTCTGGAATTCTCTGCCTAAAAGTTCTACGTCTCTTTGCTCTCTTTTAAAAGTCTCTCTTTGACTAGGCTCTAATCACCTGAATAAATACCTCCATGTCTGTTTAAGCATCATATATTGTTTCAATGATCCATCAAGTCCACTGGAACCTTTTATCATTTTGGAAGGTACTACATAGCATGTAAAAGCAAAACATGTTATGGTCATCATAATGAAGATCGTGAGCAATGATAGATCAGAATGTTATCTCCTGGCGCACTATTCTAATAGCATATCTTGATTACAGTATCAGAAAAGGATACATTTTCAGAATGTATCCTTTAACTTTCTTATAGTAACCAAGTCTGCAAATGAAAATTAGTGCTAAATTAAGAGCAACTAGGAGATGGAGTACGCAGTTAAGGTTCTTACATTGAGTAGAAAGAAGAGATAACTGCATCCTAACTGTTCGGTTTGCACATGGTGCAACATGTCAAAAGATGGAAACACAATATTTTGACGTACAATGTTATCCTGTCTCCCACATTGTCAGATATTTTAATCAGGTAGATTGTTACCAAATTCAACACAATTAGGAAGGTGCAATACATTGCGAATAAAATAATTGTTATGGGAATGAGAAAACAGGCAATTTTGTTTGTACATTTTAGGGAAATACGATAAAATACAATATTCTTCCAGTCCAAGTTCCATAAGCAAATAGATCAGTTTTCAACATGAGAAAAAATGAAGACACAAAGGACAGTACAACGAATATTTCCATTCAGATTAACAAGGATGTCAGGGACAAAATAGTAAAACTTAAAATAAATCTTACAAATACAGTAAAACAATTTTGTAATAGAACAGCTAAATATTACCTCATTTTCCAAACGCCATGCTGCTGCTCTGGACTTAGGCTGCCAATTCTGAAATATATGGTCAGGTGTTCTTTGTTAACTTTGCCAAGAAGATTATTCATTTTAAACAGAAGTACAAAATCTGTTCAGCAGCTTATCATACAGCGATATTTGGTACGCAAAGTGTTAAGCATACCAAATTTCCAAGCAAGTTATGTGTGGGATGGATCTAGGGTGAAGCAGAACATTAGCTTACCCCACACTTATGCAAATAGCTTCACTACAAATTTTGGGGTCAGAGGCATTTGAATCCTACACCACTGATACCAGAAGCTGGAAGCTCACGTTATTCGCCAAGGAGGGGCAGAGATCATGGATCAAAAAGGAAAATAAACTGTTCATCCCAAGGTAAGTCAGCTAACACTGTTGGTCAGAGATGCTGAAATAGTTAAACACCTGGATGATTTCACTATACGCCAATTCGCCGAATTAATCAGCTCCTTTCAAAATACAGAGCTTTAAAACTTGTAATCTCTCTCCCCATCAGGACCTAAGCCATATCAGATACCACACAGGGGTATCATTTTTGAATATGGAGTTATGCAAATAAAGGAAAACATCCAGTTGATTATTTTCTTAATTTGCACTTTTGGCAGTTTTGGATGAAAACTAAGATTTGACTGGTACAAACCAAGCTTAAATGGAGTTTCACCTTAATTGTGAAGATATTCTAATTTGCCGGAAAATATATCCTTGGGGTGACTGTGGTGTGTTAGGGTTGGACAAGAAATGCCAGCTTTAGCACCCACAAAGAAAGAAAAATACATGACAAGAAATATTTAACAAGGAATATTGGAGAAAAACTTATGGATAACCATTTTTAGCAACATTCTACAAAACCACAAGAAATGGAACAGGAGCAGGCCTCTTGCCAGAGAGCCTGCTCTACCATTCAACAAGGTCATGCTTGATCTCACACATGTATACTTGCCTGCCTTCTCCTGATCTCTCTCAATTCACCTACTGATCAAGAATCCATCTTATCCTTAAATATATACAAGGGTTCTGCCCACACAGTTCTCTGTGGCAAGGAGATCCAAAGACTCTCAACCTTCAAAGTAGAAATTCTTCCTCACGTCAATCACAAATTGGGCTCCCTTTATTCTGAGATTCTCCCCTCTGGTCTTACACTCTCCTAGGAGGGGAAACATTCACTCAGTTTTTACCCTGTCAATCCCCTCAAGAATCCTTTATGTTTCAATTAAGTCACCTCCTATTCTTCTAAATTCCAATAAATATAGTCCCAAGTGCAGCCTTTGCTCAGAAGACAAACTCTCCATACTGGGGATCATCCAGGTGAACATTCTCTGAACTGCCTCCAATAAAACAATATCTTTTCTTCAATAACGAAACCAAAACTGTTCACAGTACTCCAGATGTACAGCTGTGGTAAGACCTGCCTATTCCTATAATCCAACCCTGCTGAAATAAAGGCCAACATCCCATTAGCCTTTCTGATTACGAGCCACACTTGTGTGCTAGCTTTCTATGTTTTGTGCACAAATACCAAGTCACTTTGTTTTGCAGCTTTCTGCAGTGTTCTTTTCATTTAAATATTATTCTTGTGTTCTCCCTTTTAAAATGAACAACTTTGCATTTTCCCACTTTATATTCCATTTGGCAACTTTTCTCACACTTATTTAACCTATCAATTTCTCTATCTCTCTCAAAAACTGCCTATTTTTCTGGAGCCTGCAAATTTGTCTACAGTATATTTACTTCCTTTATCCAAGTCACCCATACATATTGAAACAGTTGCAGTTTCAGCACTGACCACTAACTCCACCAGTCCCATGCTGCCAACATGAAAAAGAACGCCTTATCCCCACTCGCTGTTTCTTGCCCATTAGCCAATTCTCTATTCATGCCAATTATTTTCTACAAACACCATGGGCTCGAAGGTACCTTGTCAAACTTTCCATTCATACAATCAAAGATCGACAGCACAGAAAAAAGGCCTTCGGCCCATTGTATCCAGGCAGATCAAGAATAACCACCTATTTTAATCCCATTTTCCAGCTTTTGGCCCATAGCCTTGTATGCCTTGGCATTGCAAGCACACATCTAAATTCTTCTTAAATGCTGAGGGTTTCTGCTTCTATTACCCTTCTAGGCAGAGAGTTCCAAATTCCCAGTACCTTTGAAATCTTCTACTCCGTACCTTAAATCTATGTCCCCGATCATTGATCCCTCCATCAAGGGGAAAAGTCTCTTCCTGTCTATATATGTCAATATATGCCACTCATCATACATACATCTCAATCACATCTGCCCTCAATGTCTACTGCTCTACGGAAACCATCTGTCTTCATAACTGAAACTTTCTAGCCCAGGCAACATCCCAGTAAATCTCCTCTCCCTCTCCAGTACAATCATATCCATTCAACAGTGTGGATTCCAGAACTGCACAAAATACTCAAGCTATGGCCTAACAAATATTTTCTACAGTTCCAGCCTAACCGATCTGCTCTTCAACTCTATGCCCTAGCTAAGAAAGCCAAGAATCTCATGTCTTCTTAACCACATCATCCAATTGTCCTGATACCTGAAGGGACCAGTGTTCAGGCACACTGAGATCCCTCTGACCATCGGTGTTTCCCAGGGTCCAACTGTTCATTATTGGTAAACTTGAAAGTGTTCAGAAAAGATTTAACAATGTTGCAGAGATAGTAGGAACTGCAGATGTTGGAGAATCTGAGATAACAAGGTGTAGAGCTGGATGAACACAGCAGGCCAAGCAGCATCATAGGAGCAGGAAGGCAGAGTGTTGCTGTCTCCTCTGGAGCTACTGGCTGTGGAGGTGGTGGGCAGCCCTGCCGAGTCTTGACCTTCCCCCCAGACCTCCCCCTTACTGATGACGAATGGTCAGTCCTCAGTAAAGGACTCACCTTTGTCCCCCTCCACGCACACATCAACGAATACCGGGCATGTTTGGACGTTGAACAGTTTTTCCGCTGCCTCCGCCTCTGTGCTTCCTTCTTCAACCGTGAACCTAACCCTCCCTCGACTGACCACTTCTCCCGCCTCCAACACACCCCCTCCTCCTGGACACGACTCCAAGGCCTCCTACCCACCCTTGACCTCTTCATCTCCAACTGCCGTCAAAACATCAATAGCCTCAACCTCTCCACTCCTCTCACCCACTCCAACCTCTCCCCCGCAGAACATGCAGCCCTCCGCTCCAATCCCAACCTCACGATAAAACCCGCGGATAAGGGAGGGGCAGTTGTAGTATGGCGCACTGACCTCTACATCGCCGAGTCCAGACGCCACCTCCTCCTACCGCCCCCTTGATCATGACCCCACCCACAAGCACCAAACCATCATCTCCCAAACCATCCACAACCTCATCACTTCAGGTGACCTCCCACCCACAGCCTCCAACCTCATCGTTCCCCAACCCCGCACCGCCCACTTCTATCTCCTTCCCAAAATCCACAAACCTGACTGCCCTGGTCGACCCATTGTCTCCGCCTGCTCCTGCCCCACCGAACTTAGCTCCACCTATCCGGACTCCATTTTCTCCCCTTTGGTCCAGGAACTCCCTACCTACGTCCGTGACACCACCCACGCCGTCCACCTCCTCCAGAACTTCCAATTCCGCGGTCCCCAACACCTCATCTTTACCATGGACGCCCAGTCCCTACACACCTGCATTCCCCATACAGATGGCGTAAAGGCCCTCCGCTTAGCCAAACTCGTCCTCACCCTCAACAACTTCTCTTTCAATTCCTCCCACTTCCTACAGACAAAGGGGGTGGCCATGGGTACCCGCATGGGCCCAAGCTATGCCTGCCTCTTTGTAGGTTATGTGGAACAATCCCTCTTCCGTACCTACGCTGGCCCTAAACCCCACCTCTTCCTCCGTTACATTGATGACTGTATCAGCGCCGCCTCGTGCTCCCACGAGGAGCTCGAACAGTTCATCCACTTCAC